GGAAAGAGTAAAATGGTGGAAGAACGCAGCAAGTGTCGATACTGGGACGTCTGAGAGATGGAAAAGGAGATGCGGGAGAAAAAGAGGAAAGATGGAAAAACGTAAGGAAGGGAGCAAGGTGGAAAAAGGAAGAGAGAGGAAATGGAAACAAACAAACAAACAAACCCAACAACGTTTACTGAAACTGCTGGGCATGGGATTTGGTGCTAAATACTAAGGGGGAGGCAGAGATGGCCTGGCCCTGCCCTACTCTCCACGGGCTTAGAATTAACGTGGGGTGGGGTTTTCACCAGGTCTTTCTAGAAAGCAAACCTCAGGAAGCAGGAAAGATCAGAGGAAGGAGAGCAAGGATTTGGGGGGAGGGAAGGATGGGGAAGAATGGCCTCTGTCCTTGCCCCGTCCCTTCTGTGGATTCTCATACAAAAAACCCAGGTGATCCTTTTAAACGTAAGTCAGATAAGGTCACTCCTCTGCTCCAAATCCTACAAAGGCTCCCCATCCACATAGAATAAAAGCCACAATCAGTCCTGACAGTGGTCTGCCCCTCCTAGGACCCGTCTGAGCTCATCCTCTCCATCCCAGCCACGTGGCTCCTTGCTGCATTTCAACACCCACCCCGCAACCCACTGCTACCTCAGGGTCTTTGCATGGCTGGCCCCTCTGTTTAGAATGTTCTTCCCCTCGATAATTTCATGGCTCACTCCCTCACCTCCTGAAAGTTTGTGCTCAAATGTGACCTGTCTGAGATCTACTCTGACCACCCTATTTAAAACTTACAACCCACCCTACCCTGCTCTCCCGATCCCCTTACTTTGTTCAACTTTTTTCTTTTCTGATAGCACTGGTCATCTGAAAGCTTATGTAATTTACTTCTTTATTGTTTCAGGAACTGTCTCCTCCTTGTCCCCCACCATCCTCTGTCTGTTTTGTAAGCTGATGCATCTCAGGGCCTGGGACTTGGCATATTGTAGGTGCTCAATAAATATTTGTTGGATGAATGAATAAGGAAGGGTGCCAGGGAAAAGAGGTGAGGAGTCGGCTGTGTTGGGTCTACCGAGCAGGGCTTTTGGGGTGGCAGTGGGGGAAGCTGGCTGGGTGCTTAGAATCTGTTTTCTGTCCTGTAACTTAAGCTGGTGGAGGTCTGAGCTTGCTGACGTTCGCCCCAGGCCATCCCAAGAGAGTTATTGTAGGGTGGTCAGGCAAACATCGTAGGCTCCCGCAAAGGTCACTAGAAGCTCAGAAAGTCAAAGGACGGAGGAAGCAGGGCCATTACTCACTACCAGGGCTAGAGAAGTCATCCTCAGGCCCCACGTTCAGCACCCCCGTTGACCCCTTCTTCTGGACCCACTTGGCCCCAGAGGCCGTCGGGATCCAGCTCCAGCCACAGAGATCATTTGGAGTGTCAAAACTGCACGTTTGCATCATGCAGACTGAGAGAAAAGAAAAGAGGAAGGATTTAGCTTTTTCTAAGGGGAGGCAGCTCAGAAAAGTATGCCTCAAACACAACATTGTTAATCAACTATACTCCAACATAAGATAAAAATTTAAAAAAAGAAAAGTATGCCTCAGTCTGGAGTCAGAACTCTTGAGTCCCAGTCTGGGTCCTAATGTGAGCCACGGCTGGCTTGCAAGCCAGGTATGGACTTGCTCTCCAGCGGCTGTGTTCCTGGCACGGACTACTTAGGCTGCCCAAACCTCAGTTTCCCCATCGATAAACTGGGAACAACAGCACTTGCCTGTTATAAGTTACACCCCGTGTGGGAGCATCTAGCACAGTTCCTGTGCTCAGTAAGTGTTGGCTCCTTGCATGCAGCTTCTGGAATGTTCCTTCCCTTGAATTCGTTCCCCTCAAATCTCTAACGTCAGCCTAGAGTGCTAATTCTGGATGGATCTGGGGTAACAGCCAGGTTGACCAGATGTCCAGGTTTGCCAGAGACTGAGGGGTTTCCTGAGATGCAGCACTTCCGTGCTGAAAGAGGGACCGCCCAGGGCAAATCAGAATGGCTGGCCACTCTAGGACAGGTGTCACCACAATTCTGTGTTCCAGGAGAACGTCTCTTTAGATGTGGCTGCTTCAGGGGTCAAAGGTGTGGGGTGTGGAGGTAAAGGGAAGCAAGTCACCCCAACTCTGGAAGAAACCAGGGTCATGGTCCCTGAGCAACTCCTGCCACCTGGGCAGATGTATAGGTGTGGGGGGAAAGAGGAGGAGGGACGGGGGCTCACCCTGATTGCAGGAGCCCCGACGGATAGAGGTGGCATCCAGAGCGATGTCCAGATAAGCCGTGCTGCCCCTGACCCCTTCAAATGTCAGCTGCGGGAGGGAAGGGGGATCACCCACGCTGTGAGCCCCTTTGCCTCGGGCTCCCACTTTCCTGCCTGAATTCAGGTGGCCCAGCCCCCGTGCCCCCTCCTTGTCCCAGCCCAGCCCCTCCTGGACTCCCCACAGCCAGATTCCCACTGGGACCCCAGGCTTTAACTTCGGCCTCACCCAACTGGGCAGGATGCGCCCGATGGGCACCGTGACGGAGGCGGGTATCCAGGAGGGGCTCTGGGCGTTCCTGTGTGTCCAGAGCACGTTGGGGCGCTTGCCCTTGGGGTCTGTGGTCAACAGCAGCTTGAGCTGGGCGCCCCACGACAGCCCGAACATGTAGTATGCGAAGCGCACACAGAGGAGGCCTTGCTCCCATACGGGGGGGCTGCGCAGGCGGGCCACCCCGCCCGGGCGGAAGATGTTGGAGTCCATGTGCAGGTAGTAGCCCTCTGGGGGAGGCAGAGCCAGGGATCGTGAGGCCCTGCGGCCCCCCCTTCCCAGAGCCCAGGTATCACTTCCGGCCACCTCCCTGCACCCAGATCCGCCAGCGTCCACCTCCCAGATGCCTCCCTAAACCTTCCGCTTCCTCACCTCCATTGGGGTACCCGCCGGGGGGCGCGGTGCTGCTGGTGGGGGAGGGCTCACTGGCCCGAGTCCAGGCCCCGTCATCTTTGGACACTTGGCTCCAATCACAGAGGGGTCTGGAGTCATCCTCAAAATCACACTGGGTGAGAACGGCTGGGAAGAAAGGGCCACTGTGAGGCCAGGAGAAGGCAGAGGGGAGGGGGTCGGCTGCAGAGCCAATGGGGCTGGGGGTGTAGGAGGTGGGGGGAGGGAAGCAGAGCAGGGTTGCAAGGTGGCCACTAAGATTTAGGGTCCAGAGCAGAGATTTGGGAAAGAGAAGCTGAGAAATAAGTCTTCTCTTAGGAGAAATTCAGGGCTGGGCTCGGTGAGGGGCAGAATGACTAGGTTAGGGGTTGCAAACGGAGGTCGCAGTCAGGCAGGCTTGTCTGGGCAGCATACATTTTGTTGTTGTTCGTTTGAATGTGGATCTTTCAGGCGGGACTTGTACTCTACTCCTCCCCGGTTCCCTCCCCCCTCCATCCTCTGAGGACTGCCCTTCACACATTTATTACATATTTATGTCATCACCCTGCCTGAGGGCACCTGGGGTGGCCACCCCTGGGAGGGACTGAGCAGCCCCGGGTTCCAACTCACAGTTTTCCCTCGAGCTGCGAGAGACGGGCTTCCAATCCAGAGGCTTCTCTTTCCTTGGCATTGATTTGGAGACAGAGAGAAAAAAAAAAAAAAAGTGATCCTCGTCGTTACCAAGAACTGTTAAGCCTCCAGGATTGTGAGCTTTCTAGAGGATTGTTCCTTTCTTTTTATTCATATTGTATCAACGTGTATGCAGTGACGTATATTTACTTGAAGGTTTTCAAAAAGGTCACTCACAGCCTTCTCACCTTAAGTTGTCATCTGTCTCCTAGAAAGCATCTCCCCTCCAAGTTCCTCACATCCCCACAGGTCCCTCCACCCCTCTATGCCCTGGATGTCACGTGGGGTTCTCTTGCATGAGAAAGAACCAGTTTCTTTGTACGGGATTTCTCACAGCAGCGCCTAAGCATTTGAACCTGAGCAATCTCCTTCCTTCAGGTCGAGGTCTTCCTGTGCTATAGCCCAAGTTTTCCCCACAGAGTAGGGACTGTATGGGTCCCATGTTGCCAGGTAGGTGTCAGGGATGGTATTGCCCCAACTGAACACACAGATGAGCAACACCTTAGAAATTCCACAGAGAAGCCAGCTGCCCTTTTCCCGGTGGTGTGGGCCACGTAGAACAGCCCCTTGTTTTAGTAGTTCAAGTCCTGCTCGTTCAAATCCCCTCAAACAAGCTCCAGGACACCAAGCCACCCATCATTTCTTGCTGCTTCCTACTTGCTGTGTCTCTGTCTGCTGGGTCTGCTCTGGGTTTTGTCCTTTTTCTGAGGGCCCGACCTCTCTCTCCTCCCCTGCCATCCCCAGACCTGTCTCCCCGGCTCTGCACCTCCTTCCTCTCTCCTCACCCTTCAGCTCTGTCCTGCTCCCACTGAGCTGCTCACGCGTCTCAGGTCCAGGCTTGTGGGCTGCGGGGCTCCACCCACTCCTGTTCAGCATCCTTCTCACACCCATCAGGCTCCCGCCTTCCTTACCAGGGCTGTGCCCTTCATCGCTAGCCCGCTTGCCCCTTCCAGCTTCACCCCTCACTCTTCCTCAGAACCACCCCCAGCTGCCCCCTGAGCCCAGCTTACCGGGCAGGGGCAGGCATGTGACCCTGGCCCCAGGCAGCCGCCAGCAGCAGCAGCAGAGTCCAGGCTGGAGGAGCCATGTGGGACCTCAGAAGCAGCTCTCGGGGGAGAGGAGAAAGGCGGAGTGAGGGGCCCAGGCCACCTTGTTCACTCCCGCCCCTCCTCGCTTGGCACCCTCCTGAGGATGCCATGAACACTGGACAGAGAACACAAGAAAGCTCTGGGAAATGAGAACTATGAGGGCTGAAATTTAAAAGCCAGTAGAAGAGAGCAAGAGAGAAGGAAAGAAAGAAAGAAGGGAGAGACTTGGAGGGTTGGTCCAGGAAGCCTAACATTCAACCAGAAGGGTTCAAAAAAGAAAGAACAAAGGAAAAGAAATTACTTAAGAAAAACGACAGAAGATGATTTCCCGGAACAGATGTATGAGCCTCTTGATTAAAAGGGGTCTGGTATGATGAATGCAGAGAGACCCATGAAAGGCATGTCATGAAATTTCAGAACATCAGGGCTGAAGAGAAGATCCTAAACACTTTCAGACAGAAGAAAGCAGGTCACATACTAAGGATCAGGAATCAGCATGACACGGGACTTTTCACTAGCAACCACGGATTCGATGAGGCAGTGGAACATTGTCTGCAGAATTCCAACAGAAAACCATTTCAAACCTAAAGTTCTATAGCTAGCAACAGTATCGAAGGCGACGGAAAGATGGAGTAAAGTGAGGACTGAAAATGCTTCTTAGCAAAGAATTGAAAAAGACAAGTCACAGAGGAAGACCTACAAGCAGCCAGTATACGTCGGAAAAGATGTTCTGCTTCTGGGACTTCCCTGGTGGTGCAGTGGTTAAGACTCCACGCTCCCAATGCAGGGGGCCCAGGTTTGATCCCTGGTCAGGGAACTAGATGCCACATGAGTGCCGCAACTAAGAGTTTGCATGCCACAACTAAGGAGCAGGTGAGCCACAATTAAGGAGCCTACATGCGGCAACTAAGGAGCCAGCAAGCCACAAGTAAGACCTGACACAACCAAATAAAAATAAATAAATAAATATTAAATTAAAAAATTTTTAAATGTTCTGCTTCTGTTATAAGAAGGGAAATGCTAATCAAAACTACAACTTTCATGTTGACAACAATTTAAAAGATTGAAGCATTGAGTGTTGGCCACGATGCAAGTAGACACACTAAAATACATTGATGTTAAGACTGCATGTTGGTGAAAACGTCTTAGAAGATAATTTGACAATGACCGTTTAACTTTCAAATGTGCTTATCTTTGACCCAGCATTACCTTTGTAGGAGTCTTCCCACAGAAATACGTGCGTATTTTCACAAAGATGTACATACCTTAAAGACGTTAATTGCAGCATCATTTACAATAGGAAAAGAAATCGAGTTTACCTAAATGTTTGCCAGGAGATGTGTGTTTGGATCGTATTCAAGGAATATTATTTATACAAAGGAATATTATACAGGTATTAGAAAGAATGGCACTCCTCAAAAAATTGACAGTTAGAATTACCATATTGCCCAGCAATTCCACTTCTGGGTATATGCCCAAAAGAATTGAAAGCAGGGACTTGAACAGATACTTGTACACCCATGTTTATAGTGGCGTTATCAAAATAGCCAAAAGGTGACAGCAACCCAAGGGCCCATAGACAGATGAGTGGATAAACAAAATGTGGTATATACATACGATGGAATATTAGCCTTGAAAAGGAAGGAAATTCTGATACCTGATACAAGCTGGATGAACCTTGAGGACATTATGCTAATGAAATAAGCCAGTCACAGAAGGACAAATACTGCATGATTCTATTTATCTGAGGTATCTAGGATAGTCAAACTCATAGAGACAGAAAGTGGAATGGTGGGTGCCCCGGGGAAAGGGGGAATTGGGAGTTAGTGTTTCATGGGGACAGAGTTTCAGTTTGGGAGGATGAGCAAGTTCTGGAGATGGACAGTGGTGGTGGCTGCACAATATGAATGTACTTAATGCTGCAGAACCATACTCTCTTTTTTTTTTTTCTTGCGGTACGCGGGCCTCTCACTGCTGTGGCCCCTCCCGCCGCGGAGCACAGGCTCCGGACGCGCAGGCTCAGCGGCCATGGCTCACGGGCCCAGCCGCTCCGCGGCGTGTGGGATCCTCCCGGACCGGGGCATGAACCCGTGTCCCCTGCGTCGGCAGGCGGACTCTCAACCACTGCGCCACCAGGGAAGCCCTGGATATATTATTAAGTGAAAGAGGTGAGTCACAGGAAAACAAAAAAATTATAGTATGATCCCATTAATGTAAACTCCCCAAAGAAAGGTATATGTTTATGTATGTGTTTTTGTTTTTTTTTTACTGAGATATAGTTGATTTACAATGTTGTGTTAATTTCATATGCACGTGTTTTGAGTAGAGGTGTAGAGATGGAACTAGGACACACAGACAGCTGTTCATGGTGGTTCCCTCCGGGAGGGGGTGGGCCGGGCTCTCCATGCATTCTGCATACTTATGCGCACAACAAGGATGTTTCCAGGCCTTCCTGTGTAACAGGTGTGGTTCATTATAGGGACCTTAGTGAAAGCCATTTGAGGGGCCTGGTTGGGAGGAAATCAGACTGGAGGGTTCAAGCAGGGAGCGGAAGTTGAAGAAGGAATCCAACCAGGAGGGGACAGCGTTTTGGGGCTGCTTGGCCATCTAGAGGAGACTCGGAGGGCAGGTGCTGAAGTTAGGACGAGGTAAGGTCTTTTCAAAATAAGAGAAATTTGAGCCTGTATAAATACTCATGGGAAGGTGGGTGGGAAGAGTTCAGAAGGAAAACAGCAGGACGGGCAAGCCAGCTCTGTGACGGCGGGCGGTGGGGGCTGCGCCATGCCGGTGCACATTTGGCGGCTTCCGTTTTATCTGTGAAGTTGAATGGAGAAGGTTCTGCTGGCAAGAAGATGACAGGAGCGCCCCTCCCAGGCGAGCTCCCTGGTGGTGCTGCCCACAGCCAGCAAGTCCCTACCTCCCAGCCCTGCCAACGCTAGCCCTCCCTCCGCCGCCCACCCCTTCCCACCTTCTGCCAGGCTCGACAGCTGTATCAATGTGCATTCCTGGGGCTGGACAGATAAGTGCTTTGCTACGGAGCGGAGCGTGGAAAAGGAATCCGTGACTCAAGTCACTGATGACAGGAAGGGAAGGGAGCTGGTTAGGGAAGGCTTTTGGCAAGAGGTGACACCTGAGGGGCTTTCTAAAGTATCAAGAGGGACTTCCGTGGCGGTGCAGCAGTTAAGACGCTGAGCTTCCGCTGCAGGGGGCGCAGGTTCGATCCCTGGTCGGGGAACTAAGATCCCCCGTGCCACGTGGTGTGGCCAAAAAAAAAATACCAAGAGATGGTAGCTAGGCAAAGAAGTTGGAAAGGCACATTCCAGGAAGAGGGAATATTCAAGCTTAGAGGGAGCATGACACTTGGAGGATAGCTGAGCATGTGTTTGTGTGTGTGTGTGTGTGTGTGTGTGTGTGTGGGCAGGGGCCCTGTCTTGGAGGACCTTGAATGCCACAGCTTTGTGGAGCCACCAAAAGTTTTGAAGCAGTGGGGGTGACTTGATTCCACTTGCGTTTTCAAAAGGCTACTCCAGCATCCCCAGGTGGATATGGATGAAGGAGGGGCTGGGCAGAGCTAGGGAGACGGGAGAGGATGTTGTGGAAGCTGAGAGATGGGAGGGGCCGATGGACGCTGATGTCAAGGTAGCAGGAGTGGGGGATGCAAGTGGATCGAGAGCTTTCCAGGAGCCGGAAACAGCAATTCTTGCCGGCTCACCTAACTGAATCCCATGTTCTCCCTCTTTCTTAAAAAAATGTGTTTTATTGAAGTCTAGTTGATTTACAATGTTGTGTTAATTTCTGCTGTACAGCAAAGTGACTCAGTTGTACATATATATGTCCTTTTCCATATTCTTTTCCATTATGGTTTTTCACAGGCTATTGAATATAGTTCCCTGTGCTATATAGTAGAACCTTGTTTATCCATCCAACTCCCACTCCATTCCTCCCCCAGCCCCCTCCCCCTTGGCAACCACAAGTCTGTTCTCTATATCTGCGAGTCTGTTTCATTTGTTTTTGTTTCATAGATAAGTTCATTTGTGTCAAATTTTAGATTCTACATATAAATGATATCATATGGTATTTGCCTTTCTTTCTTTTTTAAAAAAGATTTATTTATTTAGCTGCGCCAGGTCTTTAGTTGCGGCATGCGGGGTCTTTTAGTTGGCAGCATGCAGGATCTAGTTCCCTGGCCAGAGATTGAACCCAGGCCCCCTGCCTTGGAGTCTTAACCACTGGACCACCAGAAAAGTCCCTGTCTTTCTCTTTCTGACTTACTTCACTTGGCATGATAATCTCTAGGTCCATCCATGTTGCTGCAAATGGCATTATTTCGTTCTTTTTTATGGCTGAGTAGTATTCCATTGTATATATGTACCACATCTTCTTTATTCATTCATCTGTCGGTGGACATTTAAGTGCTTTCCATGTCTTGGCTATTGTGAATAATGCTGCTATGAACATAGGAGTGCATGTATCTTTTTGAATTATAGTTTTGTCCAGATATATGCCCAGGAGTGGGATTTCTGGATCATACAGCAACTCTATTTTTATTTTATTTTATTTATTTATTTATTTTTTTTGCGGTACGCGGGCCTCTCACTGTTGTGGCCTCTCCCGTTGCGCAGCGCAGGCTCCGGACGCGCAGGCTCAGCGGCCATGGCTCACGGGCCCAGCCGCTCCGCGGCACGTGGGATCTTCCCGGACCGGGGCACGAACCCGTGTCCCCTGCATCGGCAGGCGGACTCTCAACCACTGCGCCACCAGGGAAGCCCTCTGTTTAGTTTTTTGAGGAAACTCCATACTGTTTTCTGTAGTGGCTGCACAGGTTTACGTTCCCACCAACAGTGTAGGAGGGTTCCCTTTTCTCCCCATCCTCTCCAGCATTTGCTATTTGTAGATTTTTTTGTTGATGGCCATTCTGACCAGTGTGAGGTGATACCTCATTGTAATTTTGATTTGCATTTCTCTAATAATTAGCTATGTTGAGCATATGTTCATGTGC